AAAACATGCAAGAGCTAGGAAGAGCTCTCGTAGTCCACACAGAAGACACTGACTTTGATTTCTGTGGCTTTCTAGGGTTTTACCAATCCTTGCTTTTTGGGGTTTAAAGCGCCATTTTCCTTTTTCTCAGACCCCAAAAAAGAACCGCCAATTTGTTTTTTATTTAGCGACGTGGGCTTCTACGTTTAAGTTGGACAGTTAAGGGCTGGCTCGGTCAAAATAACCATCGCGGCCCAAATTATTTTTTAAATTATTTTTTGTACGGTCCAACTTTATTTAACAATTTAACGATAATAGTTGAGATTTGATTTGAATTTTTATTTTTAATATTAGCAAAATATTTTTTTGCCTGTGATAAGGTCTCAACTATCAAGATATAATATATATATATATAGAGCCACGGATTAAAATTTGGACTAGTGATAATTAATTTACAATAAGAATAGTTAATTGATAAGGCATCCATAAAAGATGCTTGTTAAAAATAATCAAAATGACAATAAAATAGGTTTATAATTTCATAAGTGAACAAGCCTCTTTAGACCCAAAAAACACACAGCTGCTTTCAATCAATCCATTATTTTCAATAAATACCATGTTTTTTAGGGTCAAGTGGTGAGTTTCCGAAACATGGCATCGCAACGTTAATAATTCGAAATTTTAAACATCCGATTAATGCAAAAAGTTGATACAAAATCAGATTTCCTTAAGTAACATCCACAACAAGAAATACTTGAATTGATGAAAGAAAACATCCAAGACACACAGTGAGTAGTACGATTAATGCAAAAGTTGATACAAAATCTGAAGACCACAAAAGCGAGCAACTATAATCTTTAGGTTCTCTTCTCTGTCCTTCCATGTAAATAATACCAAAACCTTCCACCTTGCTTTCCTAACCTAAGCAACCAGAGTGCTGGCAGTGGTTGACTCGCTGTAAAACAAAGCAGAATTCACAACATTATTAGACGGAAACAGAAAACAAATCTGTAAGGAATGAATCTAAACATTGGCGGCACACACACATAAATAAATGAGACTAAACATCTGCTTAATTAGATGCTCTACATCATTAAGATAAAGCCCTTTTTGAATTGCTGAACAAATATACAAACTGAGAAGATTCATATGCTTATGCTATTGTGTGATATATACAGATTTCAGCCCCACAAACAAATTAGAAAAGCATACAAATTCATATGCTTAAAATATTAAAACACAATGATTTTATTTATATGAGGGTAAAGGAGTAAAACAATAGTCAATTAAAATAATTTAAAAAAGAAATAAAAAAGTAGAAGAGTAATTAAGAAGAAAAGAGTAAGAACATCAGTTAAAATTATTTTTTTACAATCATTCTGGTTCCCATCTTCAAAGACATAATGTTCAAATTTCTCAATTTCATTTGGATCCATGGATTCTTTTTTTATCTGCGAATGCTTTATTTCTTATTAATGATTATAATGTATGATATAATGGAATGTTATGTTTTCATGTAATTTCCTAAGTGATCGGTAGTACATGCATGAGGGCGGTGAGCACTCAAGTTCGAACTCACTTCTCCGTAAATTAGATGATTTTCCCTAGCTTTTCTTAATAACAAGATGATCTCGCGATTCAGCAATGATCACTCCCCTCAATGGTTCAATTTGGATCTTATTGGTTTATCAAATTTTAATTAAGAAAACATTGGATCGGGATTGAAATAATTGATGGCTCTGATATTTGTATGACTTGTCGTTGAGATGATGCATATTTATTACTCTCTCTCTCTCTTTTTTCCCCGTATATGCACCATTATGATATTGATGATAATGCTTAATCTCCTACAATCCTTTCCTTGTTTGTAAGATTTTGATGGATATGATTTAAGGCTTAATCTCCTACTATCCCTTTCCGACATCTGACTTTGGCAAAAAGTAAAATAAAATAAACTATCAAAATGGCTAAATTTAAAACACATGACAAATTACATCTAAGGAGTGATTAAAAAAAGTTATTTATTTTGCTTGTCTATTAAGAAAGGTTTTTGTTTTTGTTTTTTTAATTTATATCTATATATATAAAGCAAAAGGCAGAGTTTGTATAAAGGCAGAAGGCCTTAAAAGTGAAATTTTCAACAGTCCCGAAAATACCATTGGTGAAGTAAAATATTAAAACACAATGATTTTATGTATATGAGGGTAAAGCAGTAAAACAATAGTCAATTAAAATAATTTAAAAAAAAAGAAAAAAAAAAGTATAAGAGTAATTAAGAAGAAGACGTGCTGAATAAGAACATCAATTAAAAAGTTAAGAAAGGTAATTTTGCGGAATTCTTATAAAAGGATTCCTGTCTACCCCATTACCCATATATTTGAATCACCTATTCGAACCCTAGATCTATCATCTCCTTGTCGCCTCTTCCTCTTAACCCATTCCTATAATTCCCCCAACTTGCTGCAACGCAAATCTTAAACCTCTACACACCCAATAGTTGTGATGGCATTGGCAGCCCAGCGTAGGAACCTGCAGATTGAGAATGTTGTTTTGAACCTTCCTAGGACCATTTATTGCATCGAGTGTAGGAATACCATGGCCAAAGACACCAAGATTAATTCCCGCAAAGAAAGACCCTCCCGCAACTTGGTACGTACTTTGGTTGTTATTAATTCTTTAATCTTAATAATCTCGTTTGGGTTTTGAAGCTTTAATTGCCCAGTTCGTATCTCGTTTTTTCTTTCTCTTTCTTATAGTTCTAGGGTTTGTTTATTTTTGTTGATGTTGGGTGCTCATATGCTCGCTCACTCTAGTTTTTGAAAGCTTTGATGTTGTCTATTTCTTTCTTATTTACAGGAGTTTTTGGGGTTTAAAAACATCAGATTTCACTTCAATTGTACCCAGTGCTCGGCTGGGATCGTCTTAAACACGAACCCACAATTGTCACGCGTTCTTTGTGAGGCCGGTGCTACGCAATTTTGTGTTGATAGACATCCCAGGCGTATTCTGCATAGGCTTGAGGAGGTAAAAGAAAGGAACTAAATACATACATATACATATATATATATATATAATATGTGCATATATCTATGCATGCATCATGTTTTTCTGTTTTTAGATTGCCTTTTACTGTTATCACATTGCTTAATTAATGATTACTCAGGAGTCAAACTGGCATGAGAACAGACACGAGATCTTCGCCCAACGGATTTCCATGGTAGATGCCTTACCTTAAATTTGCACTTTGTTATATATATCAGGTTTTAGATTCCCTTGTACTCAATTCATATATTTATACTTATATTTCCATTCCAGCTCCGGCAAGAAAAACATAACATGGATCAGAAGAGGAAGATGGAAGAAGTAGGGAATGCCATGAAATCTTTGGATTTGGAAAGAGAAATTTAGCAGTTTTCCCTGAAGGTATAGATTCCTGTCCGTGTATTTGTAATCATAAACTAAAGCATTTTGTTACATGTGTATTATATATTTATATATATCTAATTAAGATGATTTTGCAGATGAAGAGAGAAAGGGGACGCAGATTTTCACGGTTGTTTTGGTCGTTCAGCAGTAGAAAGATGAATTCAAAGGCAGAGATTTCTAAGGTGGTCGTGATTGCTCGGTTCAAAAGTTTACTTCTTTTATTTTTAGAGAGAGATAGACTTGGATAGTGGCTACTATATGTTATGTTCTATTTCTGTGTCAGAGGTTCTTTTTTGCCTCACGAACGTCAAAATTAAATAATTTCATCAACAAGTCATTGTTCTTCTTATCAGGGATTTGAGATTTAAATTGTCTAAATGATCTATTACTCTCATCATCGTATGATATGATTCACAATGCCTAATCTTCTTTATGTCCTCACTAATACATTTCTCTATGAAAATTTGACGATTCTCTCAATATTTGCCTCTTCGTCTTTATATCTTTTGCTTCTTTGAGGAAACTTGATGGCTAGGCTGAACGAGTCCTATTTTGTTCGTAGTAATATGCTTCTTCATGATCCTTTGCCGACTTTCAATCGTGCCTACTCCTTACTCTTACAAGATGAATGTGAACGTTCTCTTCACCTCGTAATTAATCACAACATCTCTTGATCAATCTGCCATGGCAGCCAATCGATCGCAGGCAAAACGATATGTTTTGCACATTAGCAAAATATCTTAATTATAAAAAATGAGGAAAAAAATTTGTTTTCAAGAATTCAACCAAACAAGTTTTCAAATTTTAAAGATTTAAAACAATTTTCAAGTTGCATACCAAACAACTTTTTGAATCTAAAAAAAGGGATATGAGAACTCCTTATTTTTAAGAAAAATAACAGTTTTTGAATTCCCTACTTGGATAGGATACCAAACAAGCCCTTAGTTTTTGAGTTCTCAGAAAACAAACAGTCTTCTGAGCTGAAAAGAATCGATAACGTTATCAAAGGTTGAAGAATTGTCAAATTTATCAAAACCATGAACTGGATAAAACGAACCAACAGCAATATATACCATTTTTTTCATTACAAATACAGAAAAATTAATCCAATCAGAAGACACTGACTTTGATTTCTGTGGTTTTCTAGGGTTTTACCAATCTTGCTTTTTGGGGTTTAAAGCGCCATTTTCCTTTTTCTCAGACCCCAAAAATGAACCGCCAATTTGGTTTTATTTAGCGACGTGGGCTTCTACGTTTAAGTTGGACAGTGAAGGGCTGGCTCAGGCAAAATAACCATCGCGGCCCAAATTTGTTTAAATTGTTTTTTGTACGGTCCAACTTTATTTAAAATAGTTGAGATTTGATTTGAATTTTTATTTTTAATATTAGCAAAATATTTTTTTGCCTGTGAATCTGTGATAAGGTCTCACCTATCAAGATATTAAAAATACATAGGTTTTTTAGGTTTTAGACATAAAAAAAATTTCACTTTTGGAAAAAGCCAAAGCTTTTTCAAAAAAGACAAAAAAACCGCTCAACTTTCAAATCAAAGACATGCAAATGTATTGAATTCCTTAGGAAATCTAAAAATAAATAAGGGCATTTTTGTCCATTTTTGCTTCTTTTAAAATTTTTCTCTCTCCTTTTGCTTTTTCTAAAATGTCCCAACGGATTAAAATTTGGACTAGTGATAATTAATTAACAATAAAAATAGTTAATTTTTAAGGCACCTATCGAAGATGCTTGTTAAAAATAATCAAAATGACAATAAAATAGGTTTATAATTTCATAAGCGAACAAGCCTTTTAGACCCAAAATACACACAGCCTCTTTCAATCAATCCATTCTTTCCAAGAAATACCATGTTCATCTATCTTAGTTGCTAGGATGTATTTTTGTTCTTTTTTTCCGTCAAGTGGTGAGCTTCCAAAACATGGTATCGCAACATTAATAAATCGAAATTTTAAACATCTGATTAATGCAAAAAGTTGATACAATATCGGATTTCCTTGAGTAACATCCACAACAAGAAATACTTGAATTGATGAAAGAAAACATCCAAGACACACAGAGTAGTACGATTAATGCAAAAGTTGATACAAAATCTGAAGACCACAAAAGCGAGCAACTATAATCTCTAGGCTTCTCTGTCCTTCCATACCAAAACCTTCCACCTTGCTTTCCTAACCTAAGCAACCAGAGTGCTGGCAGTGGTTGACTCGCTGTAACACAAAGCAGAATTCACAACATTATTATGCGGAAACACAGAACAAATCTGTAAGCAATGGATCTAAACATTGGCGGCACATAACACATAAGTAAATGAGACTAGTCATCTGCTTAATTAGATGCTCTACATCATTAAGATAAAGCCCTTTTTGAATTGCTGACCAAATATACAAACTGAGAAGATTCATATGCTTATGCTATTGTGTGATATACAGATTTCAACCCCACAAACAAATTAGAAAAGCATACTGCCCACCCATCAGATTAAGATACAACTCGGCAGTCGATAAGCAAAGAACCCTATTTGTTCTACTTCCTTACACATGCAAAGCAACAAGGCAAGCAACATGCCCCGAACAGCAATGCCAGAACCATAACAATGGTGAAGTTGATAAGCAAAGAACCCTATTTGTTCTACTTCCTTAAACATGCAAAGCAACAAGGCAAGCAACATGCCCCTAACAGCAATGCCAGAACCATAACAATGGTGAAGTTGGAAAAGAAATGATAAAGAATACTTACTATTTCCAGACAGGAGGAAGCTTCTTTGTTTTCTTGTAGTAACGAGAGAGCCTGTGGATCCTGCTCTCAACCAAAATCAACCGAAACTTTGAATCCTTATCCTTCCTATTCCTCTCCAAATGCTTCCTAATTGACACTGCCTTCTTGATAAGATGGTACAGATCCTCAGGAATTTCGGGAGCAAGACCTAGCCAACAACAAATGGAAATTATAAATTTTTTCCATACACTTTTTTAAGGAAAACAAAAACAAAAGGTAGGCTGTCATTTGGTTTGAAGGAAACTAAAGACGACAACGCCAGAGACTTGTTTGAGATCAAAACCAAACTCTTAATCTTCTTTACGTTTTCAGAGAAGAAGAAATGTACAAAATGAAGACATAATGGTCATCTTATCGAGCTAGCCTAATCATACAATCAATTAGTGCTTAAATATATTATCTTCACCTCAGTAATCGAGATCAATGGAGAAATGGGTTTCAATCCCACAAGTCCCACTGAACATCCAAACCTTCATAATTTTTATAGCAACTAAAAAGTGCAATAAAATTCATATAGAAAAATATTATTAAAAGAAAGGCATACCATGAGCTTTAAGAATACGCAAGATCTTGCTTCCAGTCACGCTCTTAACCTGAGCAATGCCATGCGAGTCACGAAGAATCACACCGATCTGAGATGGAGTCATACCCTTCTTTGCAAACTTGCAGATGTTCTCTTCAACCTTAATCAAAGATAAAGCCCACTCAAATTAACATCAACAATTACATACTTAAAAATAAATCTAGGGTTTTTCATTTACTTACATCTGGAGCAGTGACCTTCAACCAGCTAGGCGAACTTCTCTTGTATGGTAGAGCTGAGGCTGACATGCCCTTTCTAAAGGCCCCCAGATAAAATTAAAAAGATAAATAAATAAAAATCGAAAACTGGTGGTATGAACAGAAATACATAGAGAGAGAGAGAGAGAGAGAGAGAGAGAGAAGGAGAAGCAGTACCCATGGCTGTGCATACGACCCATGATGGGAGAGATGGAAGCGGAGGTTGTCCCTGTCCTTGGGTTCTCTGAGACGAGCCGCAAATGGTTTTCCTCTCCTTTCTTAGTTCAGGTTTTCTAACTAGGGTTTATATGTACAGGCCAATTTGGGTTTGAGAACCCCATTTTGGTGGGTTGGATCAGAGTTCGGCTATTGCCCAGTAGGCAGGACCAAATGGTCATAACTAGCAATAACTTTGATTTTGGGTACAATGGGCCAAAGGCCCAATAAAATAAGACAATAGGCACGTTTTTTGTGGATTGGATGAAGAGGAGAGAGAGAGAGAGAGAGAGAGAGAGAGAGAGAGAGAGAGAGTCATTTTTAAATGGCTTAAGAGCATGTCCACCGCTGCACTAAACCTGGGCAAAAGGCCCCCCTAGCAACCCATTCCTGCCTCCAGCGCGCAACAATGAGCCTGGGCAAGGCCTGGGTCCCACCAGCTTGGGCAAGCCCACATGCTAATTCTGCTTGGGTTGTTGCCCTCGGGCTACTGACGTCAGCAGCTGATTTTCATTTTTTGTAGACTGTTGAACCACCAGCCCACATTGCCCAATGGTTACAAGTCATGTGGCTTCTCCTGGAGCCTCTTATCAAAAAATCTTGCACAATCCAACGGTTGTCCAATGTTTGGCTTAAAAAAATTGAAAAAATATCAATAAAATTTTTTTAAAAAAAATCAAAAAATTCATGAAATTTTTTCTATACATACCTACCAATATTATTCACTTTCCACACCAATTTAATTTCAAAATTTTATTCGAAAATGTTATCTTGATTTTTAGGTGAGGATTTTACGATAAAATTTAACACTTGGGAATTGAAAATCTTATCCGAAAAACTTATCAAAATCAATGGTTTAAGTATAAAAAATAAAAAATAAATTTAAGTGAATAGTAATTGCTTTAGACTTGCCATTCATGGGTGGAACCACAAATGGCAAGGCTGACACTATTCACATGAATAGTGGCAGCCCTTGCTTGCCCTTACCCTAAACTTAGCCTTTGTGGGTGGAGATGCTCTAAAGGGAAAAATATGTGCCGACAAAATTTTTGTATCCCAACGAAGTTTGATGGGATAGATTTGTCCCTATGAATTTGTGCCACAATAGATCTTTCTCAATGAAATTTTATCGGGATTCTAACTTCAAATCACTTGTTAAAATCTACCTCAAGGCATAGTTAACTAACTAGGGTTATGTTTATGTCGTATGAATCGTATATTGAGATCGAAACTCTAATCGTAAAACCCTAGGTCGAGTTATGTGAGTATCCAAGTTTAATCGAGTCATAAGTGCCATAAAGTAGGCTTATGGTTAGGATTTGAGGCTTCATAAAGGTTTTGGAACAAGTTCAAAAACTAGACTTTTTGGTTCGAGACTTCTAGGTAGGGTTTGGAGGCTCAAATTTATTTTTGGAATACTAAAATAATTTTCTAAGATTTTTAAAATATATTTGGAAATTAAAATTAATTTTAAAGTCCACAAAATTATTTACGATAAGTAAATATAACTAATTAGTATTTATTAAGTAATTTAAGAAATTAATTAAAATACTTAAATACTAATTATTCCATAAATAAATAATAATTAAAAGATAATTACTATTTAATATAATTAAATAAAGCTAAGATATTACTTAATTGCAAATATTAAAGTTAACAAACTAAATGCATATATTCCTATCGCTTATCATAAATAAAAAATAAAAAAAGAGTAAAGAAACTAATTTTATATTTAAAATATAAAAAATAAAAAGTAAAATCGGCCTAGGCGCTAGGCGCCCGCCTAGGCGGCCTGTTGTTTTTTTTCCCCGACTTTAAAGAAAACACGCTGCCTCCTCTGAGCCCGGTCCTCCTCTCTCTCACGACAGACCACAACCACCAGGCCTCCACCCGCGACGACCACCACAAGGCTGCGACCCTCGACCCCCGACCCTCGAACTCCGTAAAGAATTTGGGTTGTCCTCTTCGGCTGAAACAAGTGCATTTGCTGAAGACATCTTCGCAAGAGTGCCCCGTAAAGAATCTGGTTCGAATGTGAGTTGTTATTCCAAACTTAGGATTTTAGCCTCCAGTCTTATCTGTCACGTCGTGTCTTTCCTGCTTGTTACTCGTGTATATCAGCTATATCAGAAACAAGAGAGGGAAGCTGCGATGTTAGTGAAGAAGCAGAAGACATATTCTCTCTTGGATGCAGATGACGATGATGGAGATAGATCTTCTGCCCAGATCGTTTCTGAGTCCAGGAAAGCTGATTCCCATAAGAAACGATTCAGGAAGAAGGTCTTGAGTTAAGAAGATGAAGATGATGAGGTTAATTCTTTTTAACTTTTGAAAGGTAATATTCTGTATTTGTTTCTCATGGTTACTGTTGTTTTAACTGAGTGCAATGATGCAGGTGATTGCACAAGAGGACGAAGAGAGACGAGTTAAAAGACGAATTCCCCAGATGACGATGATGGTTCAGAGGTTTTCTTCTTTTATTTTTATATATATTTTAAAATTTATCCTTCAATACTTGGCTAAGCTTTCACTTTGTGGTCGCATTGGTTAATTATCTTGTTATCTGATGATAGAATCTATAGGGTTCACTAATCATACCATTATGTTCATTATAGTTATTATTATTATTTTTTTGCTATGTCTCGTATATACATTGAAGAACATGTTTGCATTCATTTTCTGTTATACGTTTTGCTATGTCTCATATATGTTATAGGAAAGAGCGGATTCTCGTTGTACTGCTGCCAGTACCTGGAAAGGAATTCTGCAGAGGTAATTAGAAGGATTTCCAATAAGTGGATAAATATATTATACCACCTATTTCCTCTATGGGGGAGATATGACGTTGGATACCGCCCTAGAATGTCGATGTCAACAAAAACATATTCAAATGTTATGGGAATGATTACCTTTTTATTATCATACTTCTTCTGGATTGTTACTTTTTCCCGCTTGTATTATTTGTTTATTCTGAAAGTTCTTCTTCATAACAGTTTCTCTTAAGCATGCATCTACATGTGAGCAAGTTAGCTTATATTTGACGTCTAGTGTTTGTGTAGGAGGTGATTTATATTGCAGCTTGAGTTTGACTTTCAAGCACTTCCTCTTAAGTGGTAATTGAAATCGTACATAAACGAGTAGGTTGAAGAGGATGATATTGAAGAATTCTCAAGTAGCTTACAGGTAATTTCTAGTTTATTTAAATATATCTCTCTTCCACCGTTTTGGAGATGGATATATATAATTTGCAATTCCTTGAAGATGGCACAGATGGGTTGGTGCTTTGGGTGCTGATCACTGGAAATTGGCATGTAAAGCCAGATGATAATGATTTGTTTCAAGATGTCATTTCCAAGTTGAAACTGTGATTGATATATATTTGCTAGAGTAACGTATGTATGATCCTCCCATGCATGAGATACACCAATCATTGCATAATGCATGCAGTGCTCTAACAAAATACCATTCCCTTACTTTTGTTATTTTTACTGGAAGTAAACCTTAATTGTTGCTCTTGGTAGCCGTTGATGGTGATGGCAAACATTCATATGGAAAAGGCTGAGTTTTTTAGTATATGCGTTGTGCAGGACACTGATCTTAGTGATGAGGATTGGGCTGCTTGAGATGGTAACGACACAGAGCGCACAGAATTAGAGATGCACCCGTGTCAAGCAAAGTGATGTGATATTACTCCCCTGTGCAAGGCCCAAGGGATGATGATGATGATGAGAGTGTTGATGAGCTTGCTCGCTGCTTAGTGTTATAAGAAGAGCTCCTCAAAAATTGACACATTGCCTGCCTGCCGCATACTGTAATCTTCACTTTCGTATTATTGGCAGGCATATAGATTGTTTTCATGAATGTTTTAAGATGACATATCCGCCCTCTTGTTCCTCTTTCTTCGTTATTGATGTTTTTATCCGAAACTAAATAAATAGAGCATTTGACATCTTAAATTTTAATTTGGACAAGGTATAGCCATGGTGCTGACTGTTTGAGTTGAGATGCTACAAAGCCCTTGAGGCTTGAAATCTGGATGCGATTCAATTTAGTTTCTGAGTATATTTCTAAGCTAATTATCTTTGTTTACTCGAATTCGGCTATACTCTTTGATGATAAGAATATTTATAAACCGTATAACCGCGAAGCCATACTATTTAAATATTCGAATATATATATATTTATGGTGGGCGAAAAAGCCACCCACGAAACCAAACTTTTGGTGGAAATTTCTTGGAAAATTGCCATTTCGGTGATTCATGTTTTTCATGTTTTGTTGGGTTGGGACAAATGTGACCTATATGCCATAATCATTTACATTTAGGTTGTCTTGCATGGCATGATTACAGAGACGACTAATGCAATGCAAAAGAAGAAGTTGTGCTGAAAACTCATTATTTTTGTGTCTCTTCTTGAACAAAGTGAATTATGAGTGATGAGTGGCTTGGTTTGATTAGCTTACAACTCAATCATCTTTCTGTATAGCCTTCATGGTCAAGGGGGTTTTCATTTTAATTATCTCTCAAACTTTAAATATATAGCTGGCTGGGCCATGGGCATCATACACAACTTTATACTCCAAAGGCAGCTTTTTAAAGCTTGACGGTGAGCTGGTCTTTAAGCTTTTGGCATGTCCTACAACAAAAAACAGATGCTCATGATTTTGATGTTGACCTTAACCATCTACAAGGAGCCTGATTTCTTTAAGTAACGTCCATACAAAGAAATACTTGAGTTGATGAAGAAAACATCCACGACACACAGACTGAACATCCAAGACAAATTAGATCTTGCAATGAATGCAAACACTCAAATTAAACAGATAGAGCTAAAATGGAATTTAAGAATAAATATTCAAGAAGAAGAAGAAGAAGAAGATGCTTGGGTTGGGTTGGGTGGACAAAAAACACACAACCCCATACTCTTTTGAGGGCAGTGAGGCTAGTGCCATCGTTTCTGAGAAAACTTGTCTCTTCCAGGTCAGACACACAAGATTGAATTTGCTTTCCGATAATTCAGTTTTCATATTTTCCATAAACCATTCATCTTTACAGAATTCATAACATGAATTTAATTTAGGCACATATAATTTAAGGAAGATGGCTAAGCTGCATGCAGCAAAATTGGAGAACTGCTACAAGTCAAAAACAAAAAGAGATGCCTTGTCCCTCTGCAAAGGAACTTGGAAAAGTTCATATGGATGAAGAATCTATCTTCAAAAACAGATATACATAAAAAAATCAATTCTTCCATTCATGCTTTCTATCCCTTTCACATGGTCAAGAAATCAATAAATTCCACGGCCCCAACACCACACCACTACACCAAGATTAATACCTCAAAAGCAGCACAGTAGAATATTAAAAATCTATATACTCTGTGACAAACCTTCCTTCCTTTTTTGGTGACCGTGGTGAGATTTTTTATCCAGTTGATCAAATGAAAGACGAAGTTAAACAGAGGCTTTTCTTAATTAACATAGATATATATATATATATATATATATAAAATATGTTGTGGGTTTACAGCTACGTTAATTGTGCAGTTCTAGATATTCCAATCTCAAGAAGACCACTTTATTATTATATATGAAATGAAAGGTCCTGTTCCTGCTGCAACTCTTGTTAGATTATGTTGGGGCTTTCAACAGAGATTGGTTTGTATTAAGCTAGTGTGGTCCTGTTCTCGCCAACACCAAACTCATCAGTTGCTTTCATCAAATTACAAGCAAAAAATACAACAATATATACACATTACATAGTACATACATACCATCTTTCATTTCTGTCAGCTTATTCACAAGTTCAAAACATGACTTCTCTTCAGAGCCTGTTTGGTTTGGTGGGGTGTAGCTTTTCCACCGTTATTAGAATAGAAAAGTTTTTTTCTTCAGAGCAAAAGCATTTTTTTTATGCGTTTTTCCAAGCTGTATAAAAGAAAGTGCTTTTCGAATATTTGGCACAAGTTGAAAGACAACTTTTAACCAAGTTTCTTTTCTGTAAACTAAACTATCATCTATGCACTTCCGTTCAATGAATACCTACCGCCTGAACGAGCAGCAGCACAATACATATGATCCTTATTCCTCTCATTTTACTTGGCTTTTTTTTTTTTACCGAAAGGAGGCAGTCAAAGAGTAACAAGACTTGTACAAATTTTGAAATGCATGCCATCTTTTGCAATCAGAAATGGTCCAACTGCATGGGCTGGCAAATCCCTCAAGAATAGGGAGGAGAGAGAAAACAAAGAAACTACTATCACTCAATGAAGAGGGCAAATGATGTTATTCAATACCTCTCTCTCTACATTTGGGACCAATACCCCATCATATATTAGACCTTGGACCATCTTATTATCTCTCTATTATTTTCTCTGGTGAGTCAAAATTATAAAAATCTCAACTTTTGAATGTTATGAGTATTGGGTAGATCAAATGGAAACAAATAAGAAGAGACCAAATGAATAAAGAATAGAATAGTGAGAGAGAGCTAGGACAATGACTAATGGACAGTGAGGGCGGTGGTGGTGTCAGAGTTTCTGGCATGGCATTGGCAGGCACAAGCAAAGAGAGAGAGAGAGACAACGGTTGAAAAGAGAAGCACAAAGTACTCTTACCAAGAAACACTATCTCTCAACCAATCCAAAGCCAAGTTAGTAAATGTCCATTTTATTTGTTAGCGGATTTCTGGGGTTAGTATGAGATTGCATGCAGAGGATCCTTGCAATTTGAATTCGAACTGCGTATTTATGCGAGGGAATCTCCGTTTCGGGGAGGACAGTACCTCAACCCCACCGTAGCTCCTATCTGTGGTTGACCACGCGGCAAACGCAAGTCCACGAACATAGACCCACTTCTATAATAATTTCTTTCTGACTCGAAATAAATTTGAATTGATGCCATCAATTTTTAAGCAAGACCTTGTCAAGTGACTGTAAATCATGAATCATTTTCTAATTGAACAGTGGAGAAATGAGATTCAAATATATGATCTCGGATGCATGAATATACACTTTTGGTCACTTAATTGGTTACGTTAATCATGAATCTTTATTGCATAATCACTTTAAAATCATTAAAGTGCTTCTAAAAAAAGTTTTACTTTATCTCTATTTCAGCAAAAATGCTATGAAAGACGTCTTGAGTTGTATGAAAGTTGCTTTGAATGGAACATATTCAACATCTAGATTATTTTGTAGCTAGCTTCAAGGATATCAAAATAAACCAATGTTAATGGGAGCTAATCTACAAAACCCATTTTAACCACAAAAAAAAAAAAAGCTTTCCAGTAAGTTTTTGGATTCTTGTTCTCTAAAATCCATTGGCCTAAGTTAAAGCTTGGATTTTTCGTCATTTAGATACAAGAAGAAAAAGGCAGGAAAGCTTTGTTTATTCTTTGTTTGCAGTTACTGATTTACGAACCAAAACAAGGAATGTGGAGTTACTGGGGTAGCTCAGTTTGCAATCACACTTCCTATGGCAAGAACTTCAAAATACTAACATGCAACTGCACCCACACCTGGTATTGTACTAGAATCTAGATCAATCAATAACCAATCCAACGGTCAAAACTCCAAAGCCCTTCTCTTTTTCTTTTCCTCTGTTTCTGATTACACTTCATAGCTTTGGTACACACTTCCACTGTAGAAAGTTAGGCACACCTTCTGTGACTTTGTCTCTTTCTTCTCACAGTCACCACCTTGTGTTTGCTCAAGAGAGAGAGAGTGAGAATTACCGTGGTTCTCTGCAGGGCTTAAAACAGGGAAGAAAATTCCAGTTACAAATATAACAGTCAGAGATTGAGTCTCAGAGAGAAAAAATTAACCAACTTCTACCATTTTGAGCACAAACCAAAACATGGGTGTCACATTTTTTATTTTCTCCTTCCTAATTTTCTTCACAAACCCGTTATGGGTTTGTGGAAATGCAGAGCTCAGAGCACTTTTGGACATGAGAGCCGTTTTAGACCCGGAAAGCTTGTACCTTTCTTCATGGACCGTCAATGGAGACCCATGTGACGGGTCGTTTGAAGGTATCGGGTGCAACGAAGCCGGTCAAGTTGCTAATATTTCGTTGCAAGGAAAGGGGCTCTCTGGGAAGCTCTCTCCCGCCATTGCAGGGCTCAAGCATTTGACTGGTCTTTACATGCATTATAACTCTCTGTACGGGGAGATACCCAGAGAAATTGCCAACTTGACTGAGCTCAGTGACTTGTATTTGAATGTAAATAATCTCTCTGGAGAAATTCCTCCTGAGATCGGAAGCATGGGCAGCTTACAAGGTCAGCTAAAGATTTTTGTTCTGTAGAACTTCTAGTCTCTTGATTCTTTATTTTATTTAAGTATATTATATAGATTGGTTTGCTTTCTTTCTGTAATATTGCTAGCTTTGGTTGTTGGTTCTATTCTCCCTCCGAATTCCTACTCCCTATTTGGATATGATGAACAGCTGGTTGAGCGAGTAGACTACTAAGTCTAGGAAGCCACTCACGGCTCTTAGCATGCTGTTTTCTTACTCGACTCGATAGTGGTGGGAATGCAAAGACATCCTAAACCAGCTTCCCGGTAGACCCTATTTCCATTTCGTCGAGAAAGAACTATTCTATGACAGCTCAAGTGAAGAAGGTGTAGGAGCAGAAGTAGCTCGATCATAGGCCTCAAGTCAAGTGGTTATAGATCGGATTAGAAAGATGTGAACTTTGAGCACCTTGATTGGGAATGTGTGTGTGTCCGTTTGGGATTATTACTAGTTTGTTAAGTTTAGTGGTGGGTTTGTTGAAAGATTTGAACTTTCTTTGTGCATGTTTTGTTTCTAGATTTCCATACTCAACGATCAATAAGAAAAAGAAAACGATTTCCTTCACTCTCTGCCTTCCGCATGGGTTTTTATTTTCAACAATGAAAATCTCC